TTCACTTTTGTACTATACACTTCTGCAAACAAAAATTAATTTTTTTTTTTTTGTTCGCCAAAACGTAAAGTGCAAATTTGAATTAATGAATGTTTATCCAAATTGCATCAAAATTTCATAGTATATGTAATTTGTTTTCCTAAATAACTTTACCTAAGATGTCATTATTGATTTATTTATTAAAATTTTGACTTATCTATGTAGCTACGATCATCAATTAATAAAAATTAATTTTGAAAACTTTTTAAAAATTAATTTTAATTAATCGATGATCGTAGCTACATATATAAATCAAATTTCTAATAAATAAATCGATATTAGCGTCTTAAGTAAAGTTGTTTGGGAGAATAAATTGCATATATTATGAAATTTTGATATAATTTGGATAAACTTTTATTAATTTACTTTTGTACTTTACACTTCTGCAAACAAAATTTGATTTTTTTTTTTTTTGTTTGCCAAAACGTAATGTGTAAAAGTGAATTAATAAAATTTTATTAAAATTGCATTAAAATTTCAAAATATATGCAAATTGTTCTTCCAAACAACTTTACTTAAGACACTAATATCGATTTATTTATTAGAATTTTGACTTATCTATGTAGATACGATCATCGATTAATTTTTAAAATTTTTTTTAAAAAAAATTTATAAAAATAAATAAAATAAAAATAAAATATTTATAAAAAATTTTTTTATTTTTTATTATAAAAATTTAATTGTATATATTTTCAAACATATAAAACAATTTTATTTAATTTCTCAAGGTTAAAAATAAAAAAAGGTTATAATTTTATTAGTTTAAAAAAAAAAAATCAAAAAATTTTTTATTTAGCATTTAAACTTATTTAAACTATAAATAAATAAGTAATAAATTTTTAAATTTTATAAACGCTTTATTCTAAATGTATAATATTATAAAGAACATTTTTTATTAATATGCTAAAGGTGATTTATCTAACAAAAAAAAAAACTTATATATATATAAAGTCTTTTGTTTTATTATTAATAACTTATCACTAAAGGTTTGATCCTCTAAATCTAACAAATCAAATATCTCGTCATCTTCATCTTCTTCACTCAACTCAAAATCAATTAACTCCAAATATTTTTTTGCCTTTTTTAAACATTTTTTCTAGCTTGAGATAATGGTATCAGACTTAACTTCCTCCTGAAAAGCACATAATAATGCATTTTGTAAAGAGAGAATATCTGGTAATTGTGGTTGGCTTCCAATCTTGTTTTTTACTACTCCCCAGACTTTCTCAATTGGCTGCAACTCGCAGTGGTATGGAGGAGTAAAAAGTAATCGGTGGCCAAATTTTTTGGCAATAATAACAGAGGCAAAAGGTATGAATTTTTTTTTTCTCTTAATTAATTCATATAACTCAATTTTTGTTATACGTTTGTCAAATTAAATATTTCTAGTTTTTAACCATTCAATCATTGCAGGCTTATTTCAGTTAAAAGTTGGCATATCTTCACTACGATGCTTGTAGTACCTTGCACCATCCAATGGATGATGCAAGGACCATAATTAGAAGAGAGATCTGCACATAATTTTTCAAAATTTTTTTCAAATGATTCCGCATTGAAATTCCCATGATAATCAACTTTATCTGGAACAATACCAGCTGTCTTTATAGCATCTGGAACTACTTCCCACGCCTCTGCATTTTTTTTTTCCTTCCTTTTCCAGTTCCCGGTTTTGCAGAAGGATCTCATATAAGAAGAGACTGAGGAACTAACTCACCTTTTATTTGATTAGTCATTCCATTCCGAAAAACAATAATTGTACCAAAAATAACAAGCATTGGTCTCCTTCCTTTTTCACAAACCACTCCTTCCTTTGGAAGCCAGATCAAACCCCGATTATGTTGCATATGGCAATAAGACTCATCAAGGAAAACCTCAGGAAGATCCGGTATGTCATTTTTATTTTGTAAGTTTTCAAATCGTCGATGAAGATAGCATGCCTTATAAGCTATATTTTGAGGAGACTCATGTAGTATATTTTGTTGCTCACTTTTTTCATAGTAATAGCCAAGCTTTTTTAATTCACGTGAAAGTTGCGCTTTTGAAATAAAAAAGTTTAACTCTGCTAATTCTAAGACTATCATAAGTAGGGTAAGTTGAAGGCCACTTTGGTTTGCAGAAGAGATAATTTCACATATAGCATTTGCATAATCTACAGAAAATTCCTGAGGGGGCCACTGGTCTTGTTTTGATAATTTGAACTCTCCTGTTTTATTAAATTTAGCAAGAACTCGCGAAATAGTTCTTTCACTAACTCCTGTTGCTAAAGAAACTTCTTTGCAAAGACTAAATTTTTGGTGTGGCTATTTATTTTTTTGAAGATAGTGAAAAACAGATACAATCATAACCTTCTCATTAGTAGTTAGGGTACTAAGTTTGCATTGGTTTTGGTTCATTATACGTAAGGAACTTTAGAACGAGTAAGTATTAACTTAAATAATATGTTTAAATACCTGAATTACTTACTAATATATGAATACTAATCTTAATATATACCAAACCCAGTTTTTTGTCAAGTAAATTGATCAAAACTCACTAATCCCAGATGAATTCTATTTACCATAAAAGTTTTTATAAAAATAAATAAAATTTTATTATTAGGTTAGCTATTTAAATATCGATAAAAGATCAAATTTTTTTTAAAAAAAAGATTTGTGATTGTTAAGCTGACTATATAATAATCAAATTTCATTTAAATTTCATGAAAATTTCAGTATAAGTAAAATAGCATTTTATAAATAAGCCTGCTTAATATGATTTGATCAGTTTGCTTAGTGTAAAATCGTGTTTTTCGTATTGTAAAATTTTAAGTTTAATATCTTTCGGGTAATCATAACTAAATTAAGAAATTGATGCACATCGATTGCTGTAACACCACAAATTATAATGTATACTAAACATGCGATATTAATAACTATATATTTTTATAAAATATTAAGCTATACAATTGCGTATTTTTACTTCATAATAATGCATTTTGAATGACTTGTCTATATAGGAATTACAATCGATATGAAAATTATTTGTTTTACAATTGTCAAATAGATAACTTTGATTAGCTAGAACTTGTTATCAAACAGTTATAATGACTTGCAATTTATAGATTAAATAGCTAAAAATCTAAGAATTATTGTTTAGTATTTGTAAAAAGTAGATTATTTTTTTTTAAAAAAAATAAATTATTATAAATATTTGATATATTATTTTTAGGCCAGAAGTGATGAAATTACCCATATATATTTTTATAATATTTTATAAGTTTTTTAGCATTATTTACAATATTTTTTTGCATATTACTTGGCAATAATGTCTGCAGATCCAGGGACCTATAATAAATATTTTCATACATGATATTCAGGGTTGGTCAAACTACTGGTCAACCAAAAATTCATTGATCAAACTAGTCTGGTCAAATTGGTCAAATGGTCTGGTCGAATTGGTCAAATGGTCTAGTCTATTAATTAAATAAATTAGTATCCA